GAGGAGGAGGCGGAGGCGGAGGCGGAGGCGGAGGAGGAGGAGGAGGAGGAGGAGGAGGAGGAGGAGGAGGAGGTGGAGGAGGAGGATGTTCCTCGTGCATCGGCACCTGCTGTGCGAGGGCCTGCCTCTCCTCGGGTCCGAGGCGGGTGCGAGGAGGGGGCCGACGACTGTCCGCGGCGACGGGCGGGCCCCCCCCAGGCGCCAGGGGCCGCGGGCGAAGTCCCGGCGCGCCCTGGCGCGGCGGGCCGCCAAGGCTTCTCGCCGTCGCCTCGCGCGCGCCCCCGCGGCCCCCGCCCCGAGGATGACGATTGAGTCGGGCCTGTCCTTCTGCAGGGGGAATATTCAAGAAGAGTCCAAACAAGGTCTGGGGACGATCTTCTGGACTATGTTGGACTCTCTGGGGGCGTGTTGTGGCTACGCTTTATCTTTCGCTCCAAAGTCCGCCTGTAGGGGGACAGGCCCGACTTACGATTATGATGTTCCAGCCTACGTTAGCCTTGATCGCCAGAAAGAACTTCGAGCACCAGAAGGTACCGAAACTCGAGGGTGTTCGCGTGTCGGGCCCCAGGAGACGCTCGTCCGCCACTGCTTCGGCACTGTTTCGACACTTTTCCGGGTGCTCGAAGTTATTTCTGGGATGTGGTCCTTAAGTACGATGGGAGCAGCATAACCCGAGGAGCGAAGCACGGCCTGGCTTGAAGTCGGGCGCGTCCCTCTACAGGAGGAACCTCCAGAAATGGCCAACACATAGTCAGGGGGGCGATGTTCTGCCTGTTTTTGGGCATGTTTGGCGCATGTGTTACCATTGTTCATTTTTCGGCCAGAGTCCGCCTGAAGGAGGACATGCTCGACCTAAGCCTAGACACATTCCGAACTTCATCATATCGGGGGAAAACAAACCTCCCTCGCTTTTGACCACCCTCGCTTCCAAGGGATACCAAACGATGCCAAATTGCACCCTGTACTGGTCAGGCCGCTTGACGAGGAGGCGCGTGGTATGACTTGGTATTGCCTGGAAGCGAAAGCGGGGGAGGTAATTCACGCTCTGATAATAGAAAGGGCGGGGTCTGATTTTCTGGGCCTCCCGGGTGGCAGACGGGGTCGGAGGATCGGGCCGCGTCGCCGACGCCTCGGCGCTGCGGCTCGATGTGGAGCCCGACTTTCTCCACGCCGAGGCCGCCAGTGCGCCGCCGACGTCGCCGATGCATCGCCAATGCATCGCCGATGCATCGGCGATAAACCGACACTGCGGCGCGATCCTCCGACCCCATCTACTCGGACCCCACGCAGGAGGCCTCCGGATTTGTGTGGGATCCGGTTTTCGAGCCGTCCTGGAGAGCTCCGGGGGCCCTGGGCAGAGGCGCCGCTCTCGCGTGGCTGGGCTGGGAAGCCAGAAGTCCTCGCCTGCCAAGACATCCGGCGTCTCGATTTTTTCGAGACGCGGGCCCCCGACCTCCCGACCACTTCCCCGGGACCGGTGTTTCATCCCGAGTCGTTTTTGGACGGCCCCGAGGCCCGGCGAGGGCCCAGAGAGGCCAAAAACTATGATAAACCTCTGTCTCGTTTTTTTCGAGGCGCCCGATGTCTGGCTGTGAGGTTTCGTGCCCCTCCTCCTCCTCCTCCTCCTCCTCCTCCTCCTCCTCCTCCTCCTCCTCTTACTACGAGCTTCGGCGTGCCTGAGCTCGCGGAGGTGCGCGCGGATGCCGCGGCCCGGCGCCGGGCCCCCCAGGACGGCCCATGGCTCAGGAGGGAAGCAAACACACAGACACAATTCATCGTCGACTCCCAGGAAAATATGGGAAGTAAGACAAAAACCCAGAAAGAATATGGGAAAATATGGGGGATCATTTTATTTGTGTGTATGTATTTGTGTGTCCTCGGGCCCCTTGAATGGCGGCGCCCCCGGCGCCGCCCTTGGGTGCCGAGCCGCTCCTCCCCGGCGGGCCGCGGACTCGAGATATTCAGGAGGGAAGCAAACACACAGACACAATTCATCGGCGATCCCCCGGGAAAATATGGGAAAAGATGGGAAGTGGGGGGGGAAGACAAAAACCCAGAAAAAATATGGGAACATATGGGGGATCCTGTTTTTTGTGTCTATTTATTTGTGTGTTCCAGGGCCTCTTCAGATATGGCGAGGGCGTTGGTTAAGGAGGGCGCCCAGGGGGCGTGAAAAACCCTGGAGGGGTCCTTACCTCGCCGAGCGCGTTCCACTGCTCGCAAAGTGCCTACTCGCAGACGTCCGAAAAACACATGCCCGCTTCGATGCAATGTATCGCAGATCCCCCGCGGCGGGTCCAGGCCATTTGCGAGTAGTCACTTTGCGAGTAGTGGAACGCGCACGTCTAGTATCTGATCAGGACGGCGGCGATACCCATGGCCAATCCACAATTGGAGTTCCAATGGCTTCCAGACCATGGGTTCCTTACCCAATGATTCCTTATCCAATTCTCTCGCTGTATGTCTTTTCGCTCACGGTCGGCGGCACCCCAGCATGCTAATACTATGTTTAAATCGGGCCTGTCCCTCTACAGGAGGAATATTCCCAAATAGTCAAAAATTACTGGGGACGATGTTTTTGTGTTTTTTGACCATTTGGGGGTATTTTTTTAGTATTTGTAATTTTTCGCCCAAAATCCCCCCGCAGGGGGACAGGCCCGACCTAATATTACGTGTGCGTCGCCCCCCACCCCAGGGGCGACGCGCGCACCGAGGAATCTTGTAGTATGTGCATCGTGGCGGGCACTTTCTGGCCGTACCGCTCGGGAAAAACGACCTACTGCAAGATGGGTATACTACATGGTCGAGTTGGACGCGCGCCTCGAAGGAGGACTTGCAGTATCAGTATGTCTCTGTGCGTCCCACACGGGTCCGTGGACTCCTCCTCCTCCTCCTCCTCCTTCTCCTCCTCCTCCTACCTCCTCCTCCTCCTCCTCCTCCTCTCCTCTCCCCTCCCCCTCTCATCATCCTCTCCTCCTCCTCGCCTCACCTTCTCCTCCTTCCTCCTCCTCCTCCTCCTACTCCCTCCTCCTCCCCCTCTCCTCCTCCTCCTCCTCCTCCTCCTCCTCCTCCTCCTCCTCCTCCTCCTCCTCCTCCTCCTCCGCTCGGGCGATCCTCGGTGGTCCGCGCCGATCCTCGCTGGTCCGCGCGGATCTCTCGGGTCGGCGCCGGAGCCCCGCCCGGCGGCGCTTCTTCGGGGCTTTTAAGCCAGGGGCAACGAGGCAAAGATACGAGGAGGAGGAGGAGGAGGAGGAGGAGGAGGAGGAGGATGAGGCGGAGGCGGAGGAGGAGGCGGAGGAGAGGGGGATGGGGGGGGTAGGCATGGGGGGGGGATGCATCGACCCCACTGATCGCCGATTGGGGCCCGATAGCCCCAACCTGCCCAGGAAGGTGCGGATGCACGATCGGAGGCATGTCACCGATCTATCCGCGATGTATCGCCGATTCCAGGTCGAGGCGAGGAGGAGGGTATCGGCAGGGCGAGGGCGAGAATTTGTAGGGTGGAGGGCCCTAAGAATAGAGCTCTCGTGGCGTGGGGGTGTTGGGGCGAGGAGGGGGGTATCGGTAGGTTTTGGGCGAGAAATTCTAGGGTGGGGGATCCAAAGAACAGAACTCTGGTGGAATGGGGGTGCTGGGGCGAGGAGGGGGGTAATTATGCCAGTCCCCCCTGTCGTTGCCCCTCATTAAAGAGACGGGGGTCAGTGCCAGCTGGCGTCAGCCCGAGCGCTGGAGCTTGCAGGACCCCGCAGGGCCGGGGGCGACGGACCCGGGTCTGGGTTCAAGTCGGGCCTGTCCCTCCACAGGAGGAATATTCAAAAATAGTCACCAAAATAGTATGGGGACGATTTTTCTAATATTTTCAAGCCATTTGAGGGCATTTTCTGAATAGTTTCAATTTTTCTTCCAAAATGCCCCTGTAGGGGACATGCCCGACCCAAGTCAGGGGGCAGGATCCTGCAGGATTTTGCGCAGGGTGCTTCGCACCGACCCGGGTGTGGGCGCAGGATCTGGCAGGATTCTGCAGGATCCCCCCCTTTAAAAGGGGGGAGGGGGGGGGGGTCCGACGAGGGGATTCGGGGAAGGGGAGGAGGGGGGGGGGTGCACGACGACGGATCGGGAATGGGGGGGATGGGGGGGGGGGTCCTAAGGTCAACTTTTTTTTTTTCTCTTTATTTTTTCTCTTCATTTTCTTAGTTGCTTTCCTCTTTTCTCTCTTTTATCATTTAGTTCTTTTACCTTAAATTTTTCATCTATTCTTTTTGCTGACCTGGGTCTGGAGTGGCCCAGGTCAGGAGATCCCCGACCTATGGCCCCGCCCCTGGCAGGCTCCGCCCGCCAGGGAGGGGCCTCTAGAGCGCCGATCCTCGGAGGTGTCCGCGCGGGGCGCCGAAAGCCTTTCTGTCTGTGTCGCGGGTGCTCTTCTTCTTCTTCTTCTTCTTCTTCTTCTTCTTCTTCTTCTTCTTCTTCTTCTTCTTCCCCGAGCGCGTTCCGCTACTCGCAGAGTACCGGCGGATCCAGGCCACTTGCGAGGAGTAGTTTTCAGTCGGGCGTGCCCCTCTACAGGGGGAATGTTCAAAAATAGTCAGAAAGTCGTCGGGGGACGATGCTTTGAGCATCTTTTGCTAATTTTTGGAGTTGTTTGGGCTATCTTTCAGTGTTCGTCCAACAGCCCCCTGTGGGGAGACACGCCCGACCTGAACGTGATGGATCGTACCCCCCCCGCGGCGGATCCAGGCAAGAGGAGCAGCCGCTCTGCGAGTCGTGTGGAGGAGCGCGCTCGGTCTGCTTCCCTGCCGCTCGCCTGCTCCGCGGCTGCCCTGCGAGCGCGCCGCTGCTCTGCGAGGAGCCGCTGCCTTGCGAGTAGCGCAGCGCGCTTGTCTGCTCCTGCCACCTCTTGGCGACGACCAGCAGGAGGAGGAGGAGGAGGAGGAGCAGCAGGAGGAGGAGGAGGAGGAGGAGCAGGAGGAGGAGCAGGAGGAGCAGGAGGTTCAGGAGGAGGAGGAGGAGAACGAGGAGAACGAGGAAAGGAGGAGGACCCTGACTCCGGATCCGCCCTACTTGGGGGAAATTCGTAAGTAGGGCTTGGAATTCCCGCCTTCTACTTTTCAGGCCCCGCTGATGCCGCTTTTCGCCCTGCGTTTCTGTTGCTGTTTTTCCGCCCCAATTCTGTGGCTTTCCGCCCTCGTTTCTGTTGGGTGCAGGCATTCCCGCCCCACTTCTTCGGCCTCTTACAGGTGGATCTCCGACGCAATTTTAGGTTGGAAAAAGGCCAGAAAGTAGGGCGGATCTGGAGCCGGGGCGCGGTGCGCGCGCAGCGCGGAGGGGGGGCGGCCGAAGACGTGGCCGTGCTCCACTGGTGCAGCCGTGGTGGGGGGGGGAGGGCCGCTGCGCCGGCTGCGGGGGGCTTGCCGCCGGACCACCCCGGCTGGCAAGGGGCCCAGGCCTGAGGTCGGGCACGTCTCTCGACAGGAGGAAGATTCAAGGATGGTCTGAAAATAGTCTGGGGAGGATCTCTTGGGGTACGTTTGACCGTTTGGGGGCATTTTTTGACAATCTTTTTTACGTAGCACCCCGCAATTGCGGATAAGAGTGAGGGGGCGGGCGCGGGCGACGCGGGCGTCGTCGAGCCGGCGGACCTCGTGGCCCCCACCTTCCTTGTCGATGGCGCTCTCTTCCACCTCCTCCTCCTCCTCCTTCTCCTCCTCTTCCTCCTCCTTCTCCTCCTCCTCTTCCTCGTCCTCATCGTCATCGTCATTCTCCTCCTCCACCTCGTCCTCCTCCTCCTCCTCTTCTTCCTCGTCCTCCCTCTCCCCCCCTCGTCTTTTCATCATGGTCCTCCCATTGTCGTCCTCCCCCTCATCGGCCTCCATCATCGTCCTCCCATTGTCGTCCATCATCATCATCCTCCCCATCCTCCCCCTCCTCGTCCTCCTCCTCCCCCTCCTCCCCCTCCTCCCCCTCGTCCTCCTGCTCCTCCTCCTTTTCTTTTTCCACGTTCTCCTTACATCCTCTCTTCTTCCACGTTCTCCTCGTCCCCTGTTTACTCATCCTGCCTCCCCCTCCTTTCCCAAGATAACTGCAACGCAATCTTTTTTTCCACTTTATGCTCCCCGCCTTCTCTGATCAAGGCAACTCGCCAGGGCAAAGTTGCTGGACGGGCTGGTGTGGATGCGCGGGGCTTGAAGAGGTCCTTGCGGGCTCAGACGGCATGCAAGAATCCGCCGCCGCGCTTGTGCGGCATTGGTTTGTTCAGTGAACGTGGTTTAGGTCGCGGGTGGGTCGCGGGCTCTCCACCTCCACCTGGAAGGAATGCAAAAGCAGCCCGCCGCAAGCGCCAAAAAATTGGTTCGTACACGGAACGAGGTTTAGGTCGCGAGTGGGCCGCGGGTTCTCCACAGGGAACGAATGCAAAGGATGCCCGCCGCAGGCGCCGAAAATGTGGTTTGTACCCTGAACGTGGTCGCGGGTGGGCCGCGGGCTCTTCACCTGAAACGAATGCAAAATATGCCCGCCGCAGGCGCCGAAACATGTGGTTTGTACCCTGAACGTGGTTTGGGTCGCGGGTTGGTCGCGAGTTGGTCACGGGATGTGTCGCGGGCTCTCCACTTGGAAGGAATGCAAAAAAGCCCGCCGCAGGCGCCGAACATTGTGGTTTGTACCTTGAACGTGGTTTGGGTCGAAGGTGGGTCGCGGGTGGGTCGCGGGGTAGGTCGCGGGTGGGTCGCGGGTGGGTCGCGGGTGGGTCGCGGGTGGGTCGCGGGTGGGTCGCGGGGTGGGCCGCGGGGGGGTCGCGGGGGGGGTCGCGGGTTGGGTCGCGGGGTGGGTCGCGGGGTGGGTCGCGGGGTGGGTCGCGGGGTGGGTCGCGGGTGGGTCGCGGGTGGGTCGCGGGTGGGTCGCGGGGTGGGTCGCGGGGTGGGTCGCGGGTGGGTCGCGGGGCGGGTTGCGGGTGGGACGACGACAACAAACAACAACAACAACAAACAACAACAACAACAACAACAACAACAACAACAAGAATCCGCACCGCGGAATTCCACATCAGCCACGCGCCCAGGGACAGTGAATGACCGTTCGGCCCCCTCACTCTGATATGTCGTCCAAAATCCACCCGTAGGGGAACGTGCCCGACCTAGCCCAAGCTCCGGGAACGCAGCATCGCTCGGACGTGTGCATGTTTTCTCTCGGCGCGGGCCATTGAGGAGCCTTTTTGGGGCCACCCTGCGAAAAGAGGCACGCACGAGACCAGAAAATGCCCAGGGAATGGACGCCCGAGCGATGGCAGGGGAAGCAGCGCAGCCGCTGCCCCTGTGGTTGTGAAGTCGACCTCGCTTGTTGGGTGTTGGAGGGGCTCTCTCTGTCCCTCTCTCTCTCTTTCTTTCTCTCCCTCCACCAGGAGGAGGAGGAGGAGGAGAAGGAGGAGGAGGAGGAGGAGGAGGTGGAGGAGGGGTGGAGGGGGAGGAGGAGGACGCGCAGGAGCGGGCTCGGAGCTCAGCCACGCGAAAAAGGAGGGCAGGGGGACGGGGGGAAGGCTTCTTAGAAGGCGTCGGCCTTGCCAGTAGCTGCAGGGCCGGCGCCTTCTAAGAAGCAGCCTCCTTCCCAGATCCCCGACGCCATGATTCATGCATAACTTCAACCACCAGTGGTCTCGACCTGTTCCCCAGGAACGGTTCTTCATCCCGAGTCGTTGCTTGACGGTCCGTCAGGGCCCCCAGAGGCCGAGAGTAGCGAAATGCCTTCCGTCGGATTTTCTCAAGACCCGAGGGGGTTCTGGGTTCTAAGAAACCTCTACATTCTGGGTACGCTCCGCCGGAGCACTCTGACTCGACGCTCGTTGCTGCCTGCGGCGCGCTCCGCGGCTCCCAGCTCGAGGGCCAGGCGCGCCCGCGGAGTGCTCGCGGCGTGGCCGCGTGGCCCGAGGCCCGGGTCCATCTCCTTGAATATGAATTCTCGGGAGCCTTGAGACGGGGGTCCTGGCATCGCCCGGACGTGTGCATTTTTCTCGGCGAGAACCATCGAGGACCATCCTGGACCATCGAGCAAACAAAAAACACGCACGAAACCGTAAAATGCACAGGAAATGGACGTCCGAGCGACGGCAAGCAGGGGAGTGGTCGGGAGGTCGGGGGCCCGCGTCTCGAAAAAATCGAGGCGTCGGATGTCTGGGGAGGGGGGTCAGTGCAAACGGGGGTCAGCCAGGGCGCCCGGTCTTGCAGGATCCTGCAGGGCCAGGGTCGCGTTGACCCGGGCTTGGGCACAGGATCCTGCAGGATCCTTCTTATTGACCCTGGTTTGGGTGCAGGATCTTGCCGGATTCTGCAAGGCCTGACTGACCCGGGTCTGGATTGACCCGGGTCAGAAGATCCCCGAAATTCATAGCATCCCAGCTAAACTGGTTTCCCCCCCTCATCTTCAGCAGAAAACACTATGCGCGCACATTCGTTTGTCAAAACTGATATAGGTGCAAGAATCCCTTGCAACTAATGGCGCGAAGTGCGAAAACATAGGTACCGTACGGATTTCGAAATCGAGTGTTCCGAAAGCATATAAAACACACATGGTTTCGCAACACGAATTGTCAAAAAGAGCTTGCGCTCGGGCTCTTGCGAATTCGCAAGAAAACCACATGTTTTTGCAACATGTTCATAACATTATACCGAGCGGGCCTCTCGCGCGCGCGTGTGTCACAATTGCACAAACGCCCTTGCGCGCGTGTTGTCGCAAGAGTCCCTGGCAAAATATGGGACTAAGTGCGCACGCACGCATCGGCGAAATCTTTCAAAGACCGTCGGTTTCGTAAGGATTTCAAAATCGAGTGTCCCGAGAACATATGAAAAAGAAAACAAAAAAAAACATGGTTTCGCAACACGAATCTTCAAATAAGCTTGCGCGCGGGCTCCTGCTAAATCTTACGAAAACCATAGGTTCCAACATTTTCATAATTTGCTACCAAAGGGGCCTCTCGCGCGCGCGTGTGTCGGAATCGTTCGAACGCCCCTGCGCGCGTGTTGCCGCAATAATCCCTTGGACAAAATCTGGGCGAAGTTCACACGCACGCGTTGTCGCGCGCGCGTGCCGAAACCCTTCACTAATTTCACGTTGACCAACAAACATATGGTTTTGCAACATCAGTTTTCAAGCATGCTTGCCCTCGCGCGCATGCGAATTCTGAAGAAGACCAGCGGTTTTCAACATGTTCACTCAGTTCTGCCAAGCGGGCTCTTCGAACCGCGCGTCGAAAGCATTCGAACGCCTTTGCGCGCGCGTGCTGGGGGGGACGATCCGTGTCAAATAACACCATGCGGGTTATTCCCGCGCGGCGGCCGCGCGCATGTCGAACTCCCTCCAGAACCTTCGTCACTGACGCGAACAACTCTGTCATAGTCGCCGGGGGATCAGCATCGGCGCTGTAACTGGCCTGGCCGTCGTCGTAGTCATCATCGTCACCAGCATCGCTACCATCATCATCGCGTCTACCATTGCTGACGTTGCCATGACACCGCGCCCCTTCAAGTCGCCGACTCGCACTGGAGTGCCCCTTAGGAGGCGCCCAGCAGTCAGCGTCACCGCGACAGCGTCGGCCGCGCCAAATTTGCTGGCCGCTGCGCGCGCGAGCATTCGCGGGCTAGCGCGGCCGCAGAGATGCACCAGCCAATTCCAAGCATTCATCGCAATCACTGGTGCATGGCTTTTGCAAACCAAGTTGCGGGTGGGCGGGTGGGAAAATTGCGCGACCAGTGGATTGGATTAATCACTGCGAACAGAAACTGATTGCACCCTATAGAGTACCCCACATAGATTGCACACTGAATGTTGCTCTACATTGATAGCACCACCTAGATAGTATCACATCTACGGGCAGAGACACAACACATTGTTCAGGGGCCCGCACTGGC